TTTGCCAAGTCGAAGTCCATTTCACAACAAAGGCAGTATCTTCCAATATATTCTGTTCGTGAGGAACTGTTGAAGGTTAATATCTATAAACATATTGGTCAACATATTCATTTTGCACTCTATAATGCATGCTTTGTTTGGTTCTCTTTAAACGTCATATCATATTTTGTGTTTTCTGTTATATGTTGAATGAAATTAATGATTAAGGCTTTCCTAGGAAAACAAGTTGACACGAAAAGTTAACAACTCTCATCCCCCTCGCCACCTCTCACAACCATAGTCATCCATCCGAACCTAGATTGCTGGTCTTTGCTATCAGTATTCAAAGTAGCCATGCAAATGCTTTTCCCTCTCCTCACACTCTATTTGTCTTTTCTCATTCTGTTCCTGCGACCAACATGGACGGAGTGTGACCTACTAACTCAACACATGCTATCTCTATGATTCGTAACACACTTCTCATTTGATCTCTCTCTCTCTCCCCTCTGTTTTTTCTCCCTCTTCACTCAAATTACTACTCACCATTGCGTTGCACCGCTGAAGTTGAATACCGATTTCACATTCTTGCCCTTTCCCTGCCTCTTTTGTAATCCTTTCTCTGTCAGCTACTGACAACATTCGACTGCAATGGTGCTCAACAACCCTTTGTTTCTGTCACAAATTGTCTTTCCCTTCTCTGTTCTAGCTTCTCTCCCTTTTCTCTCACTTTCTTATTTTCCCTCACACCTTTCTCTCAGTTTCTCTCCCATACTTCCTCTCGTTCTTTGTTTCTCATTAAAATGTTTAGCTTTATAATGGTACACATGAAATTAATTTTTTATTTTATACAAAGATACCAAAGGTATAAGTCCATTGACAAAATGGTACTGTACCGGTCCCGTAGATTACCAAAATCAATATCAGACCAGTTTTTAAAATATTTTCTAGCATTGTTGTTAGATGCATAGTTGATTTCTAGGACCACCAGTTATTTAAATGAGTGATTCCCAAATAACGATTCAACTACTCCCATATTACACATATCATGAATGAGGCTAAGATACCCTGCACTTGTAGCATGGCCTGGTACATTTGATATCCTTAGTAACTGTGCTACGTATTATTAAATTTGAGACATTACATGTTAGTTGTAACACCATTAAAAATTTTCCTCGTGTTGGTGATATCATTGTTGTTTTTTATATGTTCATGATTTCCTATGCAATTGCTTATCACTGTGCTTAATTCTTCTGCTTGCTCTACATTAGGTTGTTCGTGAAAATCAGGTAATAGTTGTAGTTGGAGAGACTGGTTCTGGGAAGACAACTCAATTGACACAGGTAACACCCACTTCCAAAACTCTCTTTGATTTTATTCAACATATAAGCCGTTTATTGTTAAGCTGATGATAAAGCTACCTGACAGTATCTTCATGAAGATGGATATACAAATAGTAGTATTATTGGTTGTACACAACCAAGACGTGTGGCAGCCATGAGTGTTGCAAAACGAGTCAGCGAGGAGATGGAAACAGAGTTGGGTGATAAAGTTGGTTACGCCATAAGATTTGAAGATGTCACTGGTCCAAATACTATAATAAAGGTTTTTTTTACCTTATTTGGAATTTCTTTACTTCATGTTCTTACTATTTTTTTTATGCTTACTTCAAAGTCTAGAACTTCCGATGTTAATTTTTGTTCCATGGGCATCTTTAGTCCATTTTATTATGGTATTTGACATATTTAGTTCATTTTATTACAGTATTGGAAGTATTTAGTTCATTTTATTATTGTCTTTGATATCTTTAGTTCCATGACAAAATTCACTCGTTGATTGCATTCCACTGTATATACAGTAGGTTTATTTCAAAATGTTAACTATTATGAATTGGTTTAGCAACTGCTATGGAATCTTATTAGGATTTCTCCTACTTAAGTTCTAGCTATATTCTTCTCTTGATTAATTCACTTATGCATTGGACTAATTGGCCTACTATTTAGGATCTTCTAGTAATTTCTGGTGATAAACTTAATTGTATCATTTGTCTTAGATTGAAGTATACTCACCAGAATGTTATATTTTATTTGTGTAGTACATGACGGATGGGGTACTTCTGCGTGAAACATTGAAGGACTCTGATCTTGACAAATACCGGTATGCTTATTGTCCTTTTTTTTGTTTCTATTTTTGTTTTAAGAAGACTTATTTTCCACACTTTTTAGAATCGGTTGTTCTTATTCTATGATATGAAATTCCATAGAAAATTATCTTTTGCTTGCAGGATTATTTGTTTCTGCCATGATGTTTGGATATTCTTAAAATTTACTTCCTTTGTTCACGTCCATCAGATCAATAAGTAAATTGTCAAGTGCACTGGTAGAAGATGAAAAGAGGTTGTCTATATGTGACAGTATTAAAAAGTCAAGGAGAACATAAAACTAACCTATTACCTGGTAAACTAAGACTCATTGCTGAGAATTATCTTTCACAACACTCTTCCATCACTGTTTAGTAAAGGACTTTTTCTTGTTATTTACTTTTAGGAGAAGTTGGAAGCATATTGGAGGAACATTTTAGAGTTTCTTACTGCTTTTTTATATGATCTTTCCTAATATTTAGCTTGAGGGGAAAAAGGATATTAGAACTATGCTTTCTGACAGAAGATGTAGAGATGGGGCAGGGTTTTGGAAGATGAGGTGCCATTCTTTTTCATATAATATCTTTCCTAATATTTAGCTTGAGGGGATTAAAGATCTTAGATTTATGCTTTCTCGCAGCAGATTTAGAGATGGGTTTTAGATTAAATGTTGACTATTAAATTAGATCATTGGGTATCTACTTTTGGAAGATACGCAAATAACCTGTCGGAACATACAATCAACAAATGATAATTGTAGTTATAAATTCTTACTGTTGCATCCTTCACCATGTCACTCCCCTTTATATGGTGTACTGCTGTAATCTTATGCTCACAGTTGTTCCAAAAAGTCATTCTTTCTAACTGTGGAAATTCAAGTCATTTGATCTCTTGTTCAGCTACCTTCATCAAACAGATATCATCGAGGTTTCTTGTTCAGCTACCTTTTTTGTTTTTGCGGTGGTCACCTACTGGTCAACCAGGACTGCTTGTCCTTGTTCTCCATTGGATCATCCAGAGATTTACTTCGTGGTGGATTTTTTCTTTTTCCTGGACATACTAACTGCAAGCTTGGATGGATTAGTTCTTGGTGTTCTTTTCTATGTCTAAAGCTTATGCTATCAGATAGTTTTGTTTTCTCCTTTGCTGCATGGTAGATAGTGTAAATTGACCCATAAAGCTATTTCTATTCATGATCTCATTGTTTTTCTGCTCTTCCTGTCCGACGAATCGAAGAGGATAGAGTCTCGTTATGTACAAGGGCTTTGAGTTATGCATTGATTTAAACTAAGTGATGTTATGTTGTCTTAGCTTGAAAAACTTCACTGTTTGCTAATGTTGATATTGGCAATAAAACAAATATTGCTTCTAGTTACTATATACATAACAGACTTTAGGTAGTTATGATCTTCGAAGTGTTAAGAGGGAAAGATTCTTTGAATGTCTTTTGCTTGTTTTCTCAAACTTAATTTTTATGCTTTGGTTTTTGAGGCACAAAATTGTTAGGAAATCACATAGAACTTTGCTTTCATAACATGAACTGTTTTTGAACTTTGTGTATCCTGAGAAATACTTCTTTTTCCCAGAGTAATTATCATGGATGAAGCACACGAGAGATCACTGAGTACCGATGTTTTATTTGGTATACTGAAGAAGGTAGTTGCTAGGCGACGCGACTTCAAGCTTATTGTAACGTCTGCGACGCTGAATGCTAAAAAATTTTCCGACTTCTTTGGAGGGTAAGATGAGTCAGCTTTGTAAGCTAATACCTTTACTGATGACACATTTATTTACTCTCTGCACTCCTGGCCAACCTAACCTTTTTCTCTCTATGTTCCAGTGTTCCGACTTTTCATATCCCTGGAAGGACATTCCATGTAAATATCCTGTACAGCAAAACACCA